AAAACAATAAGAAATACATAAAGTGTGTTTTTTTCCCTATACAGTACTGTTGTACTGTATACTGTATACACAGTACTGTACAGGCTGTTGGCACACCTGCTAACCACATACACTGCTCTTCTGTTTGCCAAAAGGGTGATATTTTTACTGGCAGACATGAATAATTTATGAATGACTCCTGGATCAAGAATGTTCTGAATCTGAGAACTTCATTGCTTACTCTGTCAATCACATCCATCAGTCGAAATCATTGCTGAACAAATGTTGCATGCAGACCTCCAAGTGCACACAGTGAGAGATGTGGGGTATGTACCGTCCACTGTGAAGACAGGAAGTTACATCCAAACGGCATCTGCCCTGAAAACAGTGAAGCAGTGACGCTGGTATTATGTCTCTGCCCCATTGATCAGTGTCTTAAAAAGCTCTCTGTCAGCAGCCCAGTGGGGAGCTATGATATCAGCTTCAGTTTCCTTTTGTGGTATAAAAAGACTGCTTCTGGTAAATGAGCGTTCTATAAAAATAGAAATGTTAATGTATTAGGTATTTATTTATGCTATAATAAACCATGCATCAGTGTCATATCATTGACCCATAAACATTGCAAATTAATGTCAGGAGATGACTCTTGAAGTTATAGGGAAATTCAAAGTTTACACTTTTTCCACAGTAGCCTATTTCACTTGTTTCAGATGCACATGCACATATTGGCATTGGTCTCTAAATAGGGGTATTCAAGCAATTAGAAGTGTATATGTGAGAGTGAGAACATAATTTCAATTTTTCATATCTTCATATGAAAATTTGACAATAAACCTTTAGAGTTGAATTGAATATTTAATACATTCTAAATTGCTTGAATGTGCTGTAACGCGCTGTGGCCCTTCAAGCCATAATTTTTGTACTAAGCATTTTCATTTTGACATAGCCAAACGCTTACAAAAATAAATAGATGAACCATACACAGTCAGAATAAATCAGAGCATATAATGATGATTTCTATTACATGGTAAGGCCTTGGTTGCCGACACTGGCAAATCCTGACCGGCATCTGCTCGCATTGAATCGATGAAGAGGAACTGAAAGCGGACACCTCTACTGAGCAAAGGACCCCACATTCTTCTTAACAATATGGTCATTGAGCATGATAATATAGATTTATTTGTTCATTATTTGCAGTAGGAGTTATGTTCTCCATGTCGACAACTAATTCTTGTTCCCCTGAAGCTCTGGCCTGTAGCAGCCCTCCCTTTCCCTTGTTTCTGTGTCCTCCTCTGCCCCAGACCTGGGCCCATAGGATATCATCTAACCTGGCCGTGTGTCCTTGGGTCTATACAGTGACAAAGGCATATTGCTGTCCTTTCTCTATTGCACCACCTCCTCTTTATTTTGGAGTTTATGTGTGTCTATGATTAATTACTTTCTCTCACACTTCTATTCACACTCACTGGCATTGAGTTTGAGACTGTGGGTCTTTACAAAGAGGAGGACCCTGTATAGACACTGCAGTGCAGCCCTCTTGCTGTGAATCTTACTATTTTTGTAACCTCCTTGGCACAAGCCTGCAAGACCTGTGAGGCACTTGTCCAGATGCCAATATTTACACCCAACATCATCAATATTTAGCTGTAGGTCTCTGAATGTGCAGGCTATAAAAGTTGCTGCTTCAATGTAGGCCTACAAAAGCCTTATTGGACTACTAATTGTATTGGCCCATAATAAACATGTATAAGCCTACAAGTATGACTTTAAAACTACTACACTGTAGGCTATTGTTAATACAAACAATGACAAATTATAAGATTTGCTTGCACAATAATACCAAATTTCAATAATTTATTGCTTTCAAACTATAAGAAGATGATTTAGGCAATGACCATTTCCCTCATTATTCTATCATTACTACATACCTATTCTACTGATTCATTTTCATACATTTGTGTTGCACTTCTAACTGCTTTGGATTCTATTTGATGTAATGTTAAATGTTGCTGTTTTTTGTACCAATTCATGTGACCAAAAGGCGAGCTGGAGGCTGGAAACTGTATTCCGAATCTGGCAACACACTTGCCTCAAAAACAAACATGGCGTGGAGAGGAATTATAGTAAGAAAACTGACCAAAACTGAGTTTGTTAGGTCGGGAAACACAACGTGGTCTCGCTATAGGTGAGAAATATATGCGATTAATCGTTACTTACAGTAATGAACAAAGTAGCCTCTGATCATGTGTGTTATACCATCGCTAGCTCCAATGTTGTTAGCTAACTGTCATAGTGAACTGTAGCCTGTCAGACAAGCCAATTAGTATAATATTTTTTCCAAATCAGTTTTTACAGATATTGTGTTTCAAATCAAAAGAGGCGATTTTTTGTTTCTCTCTCTAGAAACGTTTGTAATGTTATTATTTTTAACAGACTTTTTGTTTGTTTGTTTGTTTTTACAGACTTAACCCTTACCATCAGCAAGTGAGATGCTTCCGTCGAGAAGCAAAAAGGTCAGAAACAAAGAAACCTATTAATGAACAGGAAATAAAAGACTCACTAAGTGCAAACAAGACAGCGATACCTCCTCCCAAAATCCCTCGTCCATCACTGCTCAAACCTCTTCTTTTCACGTTAGGGGTAGGTGACCTCAACAATATTCTCAGTGCTGAAAACCAGTAAAGCCCCTCTTCTGTTAATGTGAGAAGAGAGTGCATAAGGCCTGAAGATGGTGTCTAATTTCATGTCAGTTTACAGGATGCTCCTTTGCTGCTGCAGCCATTCTACAATATGAAAACCTGAGGTCCAAGGTCAAGGCAGTACAAGAAGAGTCAGATGAACTCTCAAAGGTATAACATTGTATAACATTACATCATTACAGTTATATTCATGGTGTTTTTTAAATGCATTATTGCAGGGCTCACATGACATAACATACTGGCATAACTGGTGGAATCAGTTGACAGCTTTTCAGAAGCAAGTTATTCTACTGATGTCGATGGTGGATGACTTCTGGAGTAGCTTAACAGAGGGCCAAAGGACTGTTACTGGTAATTTTAGTCATACTTTTTAAATTATATTCACGTATTTTATAAGAAGTAACTATAATCTATATATCTTTCAGGCATTATTGCACTAAATGTTGTTGTTCTGTGCTGCTGGAGGCTTCCTTCTATGCAGAGAAACATGATCAAGTACTTTACCTCAAACCCAGTTTCTAGTGAGTAAACACCTTTGAATCCATAGCAGTGCATGTGTACACCATTACTGGAGTTGTTTTATGTATCTTTCTCAACAGAACCACAGTGCCTTCCAATGGTCTTGTCCACATTTAGCCATTACTCCATTATCCACATGATGGCTAACATGTATGTGCTGTGGACCTTTTCTTCAGGACTGGTGTCTCTCCTTGGGAAGGAGCAGTTCATAGCCTTTTACCTTTCTGCAGGTGAGTCAGCCTCACATGAGTACCTTCACTGTCCACTGTGCATTTATAAAACGTAATACACTGGATTTTGTACACTTTCAGGTGTTGTCTCAAGTATGGTTAGCTACATGTGCAAAACTGCCACCAGGCGTTTCCATCCATCACTAGGCGCAGTAAGGGAGTTATTAATTCTTTTTCTATTTTTTTATATATTCATGTACTTGTTTTCCTGTCCATAGTCTGGTGCTGTTATGGCTGTGTTGGCAGCAGTCTGTACAATGGTGCCAGAAGCCAAACTAGGCATCATATTCCTTCCCATGGTCACAGTCAGTGCAGGACATGTAAGTGAAACCTTAATATAATTATATTCTAACCATACATGTTTTTAAAATCATGTATTTTCACTGTTATTGATGTAGACTTGCCCCTGTGTGTACCACGTATTTACTTTTAATCATGGCATGAAAAAACAGTATAAGCAATCTAACAATCATATTGTGCTTAACTACTGAAAAAGCAATAGATTTCAAATTCTGATTTTGCTGTGTCTTTTGTTGAAGCCATCAGATTTAAATCTGTGCATGAACAAAAGAGTCCAGTATGTGTGTGCAAATGTCTAGGTAAAGTACTGTATGTCTGAATGTTTGATAGTTTGTTAATTTAGTTGTATTCACTTTTTATTTGGATGTTTCACAGGTGCTGAAAGCACTTGTTGCTTTTGATACAGCGGGACTGTTTCTGGGCTGGCGGTTCTTTGACCATGCTGCTCACCTCGGAGGTGCCCTTTTTGGAGTGTGAGTTTCACTTAAGTGTCCCCATTTGTAACAGGCTATGTAACAATTTAATAAGTGCTGTTTTATTTTTCATTTCATTTTGGTGACACTTGCAGACCAATGTCACATTATAGAAAGGTTATACATAAAACACAAAATCTTCCAAGAAATAGTTTTCTCCCCTTTCCCACTATGTCTATAGATAATGTTTCTGTCATTACGTCTGTTAAATGTTTAGTTTATTAGTTTAGCTTAGTTGTTTAGTTATTTATCAGGAACCAGGTTATATCAAAATTGCTAATTTCACCAGTTCCTGGACAATGCTGATGTTGCATGGCACAATCACTAAGTAAACTAGTCCCATTCAATATCAGTCACCACATCCAAACACTATTTACATATACACAATTCATGTTGCTGCATTCATACAAAACAGTTTAATGTGTACAAGTGCAGCACTTCTCCTTAGGAAAGTGAAGGTTTTGTACATTTTAAACTTAATGCAGTTTTTTTCCAATCTAGGTGGTATATAGCAGATGGCCACAGGCTTATTTGGAGGAGAAGGGAGCCCTTTGTGAAGCTCTGGCACAGCTTACGTACTGAAGCCGCTGATGAGGCTAGGCCTGCATCTCGGCCTGGGAAAGACAGGGGTGAACGTTAAAAGGTGTGCCCACACTTGGATGGATGTACAGACACTAGTTTGTTAATGTTAAATGTTAATAAATGCTATACCAGCACCACCTGCTGTTGGGTTTAATTATTCTCCGGTTATTTTTTTTTCTCTTTTTCTTACAATAGTTTAATAATAACAATACTCTTCATTTGATGCATCATTTATACATAATACTTTATTAAGTCAATAATACATTAAAACAAATATTATAAACATGAACAGTCTGTGGTGTTGCTCATTACTGCTGAGGGATGCTAAATGATAAAGACTATACTATAAGACTGAACATTAAAAGGTGCAAAATGGGCTGGCTACCAATAAAACCTCTAATAGATTGGAAAAATAGGATCATAATTTGTTTGGTGGTTTTAAGTAGAAACAACTCAAATTTCTGATTTTATATTCAGGCTTTACTTTTGTGGTTTGCATAGCTGGGAAAACCAAACTGGGAAATCATCAAGTTGGAAAAGCAGAGTGGCATGACACCATAAATTTGTGCTAGCCTGTTCAGACAGTAAGACCTCTGAAGTAGGTGTTCTGGACGGTGCCACATTCCCTGATACCCGCTGTTGGCATCCTTTTCAAGATTTCTCATGTCAACTGGTTTGACAAAGAGTCCAGATGGCCTGTTGTAAGTAGTTTCACTTATCTTTTTCAAATACAGAGACACAACAAAATTCATTACAATGTCATCACAGTTTTGAGTTTCATCTACCAGTGCAAGCACTGCCTTATCCTGTTGTTGAAAGAGCTGTAGATATCGACGGTGAAAGAAAGCTGCACCAATTAACACCATGGAGTACCTGCATTAGCAATTTTAAATGGTTGTAAAATACAAATATAACCTAATAAATAATGTTGTGGCAATTATGTTGACATAGAAACAGTGCTTACTGGTCACCTCCTGAGATTTCTGGGTTCTGTAACTCAAAACTTCCATAACTGTAAATTCCTTTGTCTGTGAGGACATGCTTACGGGGGACAAACCCAACAATCTGGTCTGGAAATTGCTGTAAAACAATTAAAATATGAATTGAAATATATTGTATGTAAAACATTATATTATTGTATAGGTGGATCATACCCTCCAGACAGAGAAACCAAAACTGACATCTGGAACACTGACTAAGGTGTCATCATCCAGCATCAATACAGCTGACATAAAAAGAAGAAATTAAAAGAAGAAACCGATAAAATGGGTCAATATTTAAAATAAACACTAACCATCAGTGTCAATGTCTTTAAATGGTTGTAGTCTGTTACGCATCAGATTAGTGTTTTGTTGTTTGAAAACTACAGGAATAGGGTGAGGTCCTAAAGAGTCCCATAACTTCTGTGGTGTAGGCTCTCCAATGTTGTTCCACACTATAATAATTTTCTGCAGATGAGGCATGGCTTGATAATGGTTCAGGAGTTTGAGCAGAACGTCTGTGCGGTTGTAGGTTTGCATAATGATTGTAAACTTGGACTCTTCCTCCGCCTTGTTGTAATGGCCGAGACTTCGTATGGGCTTTCTGTCACTGTGTTGTCGACGTACAAATCTTGCAGAGTCTGCTCCTTGGTGTTCCTCTGCAGACGGCACAAGAGCCATCAAGACTGCTCCAATCATCAGCAGAACCAATAGAAAAAGCAACACCAGGTAACCTCTCCTGGGAATAATCCAGCATCTAGGGAGTCTACATCACAAATAACATAAATCATTCATGCAAATTGTCTTGTAGTGACTTTGTCAACAAAAACTAACAAACTCAGGACTAAACATAACTCAAAATAATCACTTTGGGCACCATGGGTATGTGGATAGTAAACTATGACAAAATCAAATAGACTAATAGCTCCAACAATTGTGCTACTTTTATGTAGCCGAGCACTTGTAAGGGCTGTACATGAGTGCATAACAGTACACGCCAAAGGAGAAATTCAACTTGTCAACTGGCCAAAGCTTTTTTTCGGTCGATTTAACAGTACACTAAAAGCGTAGTATTAATACATTTGACATAAACACTTAATTTTACAATTACTTAACCAACCAGCTGAAAGACACTTTCGGATTTGTAGAGATTTCAGCAACATAGAACTAGGCTAAACCATCACTCACCTCATGACTGGTTGGAGATGGCTATTTGTTAACTTTAAACAGAACTAATGAAACTTCAACTATTTGACCTACTGTTTGGAGAAAAAAGTTGTTATATATAGTATGATAAAGCGTCTCCGACCAATCCATGAGGTTTTTACTTTGTCATAGCACGGGCTATTGTGTGCGAAACAACAAAGTTTGGACCGCTTCGGCTACCATACAATTCTTCGCGATGTTATGAAACATTCAACTTCGGAGTACCTACATAACAGCTACTTTTTGGTTTTTATTCACGAAAAGACATGTTGGCTTCACCAGCATCCAGCATCTTTTCCACAATTCAACTTTCTAATTGTCTGCAAATGCCAATATTTGGACTGGGTACGTAGCCCATGTTTATGCCATTTTCATTAATACATTCAGAAAAGACGTGGTGCCAGTGGCCGTGTATTTCACTCAAGAAGACAACAAGTACTCAATGTCTATTGCAGTAGAGGTAGGCCTGTTTTATGAAATCTCATTATTTTGAAATCATTTTCGGAGTTAGACCATATTTTGACTTAGCTTGGTGTATTTTTTATTTATTTATTTTTTTCAGTTTAAACTTTATTTCAGACGCAAATATAATTTGATCCATACTTAGAAAAGGAAACAAAAGGATACAAAATATACACAACAGACACATTATCCAATAAAGTTCTGTAATGAGTATATGGAGTCTCTCTGCCCTGGGCTTTCTCAGAGCAGAGGTGTAAATGAGCCCATGACACTTTGTATGCATGAATGAGCGGATTGAGCTTTTGTGTTTGTCCCCAAGAAAGTTGATCACTAACCTCTGTTCAACAGGCACATCTCATCATGGAGGGTACTCCCATGATGCTGTTGTGTATGCTCTCACACAGTGTGGTGTGCGTCACATTGACACAGCAGAGCGCTATGGCTGTGAGGAACAACTGGGCAAAGCTATCAGAGACAGTATGGTGCCACGGGGGGATCTGTGGATCACTAATAAGTTATGGCCAGGTAACTATGGATACCAGACAACAAAAGAAGCCTGCCTCAGATCATGCAAAAGGATGGGTCTGGAGTATTTTGGTATGAAACGCTATTTGAAAAAAAATCTTTATTAGCCTTAGAATTTTGGTGTGGTCTGACTATCATATTTCTCTTTAAGATTTATATCTGATGCACTGGCCAGGGGCATTTGAAAGTTGTCACTCTAACAGAGAGACAAGAGCAGAGACGTGGCGGGCATTACAAGAACTTTATGAAGAAGGTATAATGCATGTAACAATTTTGCATTGGCATTCTCTATAACAGGGGTCTCCAACCTGTAGCTCAGGAGCTACCAGTAGCTCTCCACCCCCTTCCAAGTAGCTCGCTGAGGGATTTCTGAATTACATGTATTATGCTGAGTAAGTCTAATTCGAATAATTAAATGCCTATTCCCATTGTACATGTATCATTTTGATGCCTAACTTTGTGCACTAATAAGTGGATAATGATTATGTTTTATAGGCATCTAACTGTGCCTCATCTAAGGCTCGCCGTAGCCCTAAATTACTTATGACCACTAAAACTAGTAGTTCTCTGTCATTTTCGTTTTGTAAAAGTAGCTCACTGGAGGAAAAAGGTTGGAGACCCCTGCTCTATAACATAAAATGTGTGAGTGTCAAAATGTGTCTTGCCATTTAGGGATTTGCAAATCTATTGGAGTGAGCAACTTCTTGGTCCATCATTTGAAACAACTAAAAGAGGACTCTGGTGTGGTGCCACATGTCAACCAGGTTATATTAAGTTAATTTCTTAAATGGAGTATCATATTACCTTGGTGGCTCAAAGTACTCCATGCAAATGAATAAACAACTATAGCCCTGGGGTAGACTGAAACAAGGCTGCTTATCACTACTACTACCATGATTACGTGACCAGTGATTACCAATCATTCACACACATTAATACTAAGGGTAATATGTTTACTCTTTGTCTCTTTAAGACATGTTTTGTTGTCAACTTGCCTTGACTTTTTTTTTTTTAATCTTCCATGTGGACATATCATTCAGGTTGAGTATCATCCATACCAGCAGCCCACCACAGTCCTGGAGTACTGTAACCAGGAGGGGATTGTGTTTGAGGGATACTGCCCTCTTGCCAAGGGTCAGCTCCTCAATGACCCCAGGGTGCTTCAAATGGCAGAAAAACACAGTCGCACTCCTGCCCAGATCTGTATTCGATGGAGCTTACAGGTGGTTGTCTTTACATATACTGCCCCAATTTTTGGGTGGTGGGTGGGCATGTTCTTATGCTTTTCTTTTTTGTAGAAAGGAGTTGTTACAATACCAAAATCAACCAAAACAGAGAGAATACGAGAAAACTGTCAGGTGAGTTGCTCTGGACATTGTCATTCAAATTAACATTATTTTGCTTATTACTGGTGAGTAAATTTTTTGTTTCTGTTTTAGGTGTTTGACTTTCACCTGGATAAAACCGACATGGACACATTGGCTAAAATGCATGACGGAAGACATGTGTCATGGGATCCTTCAAATATACTGTGACAAAATGCTTGTGAACATTTATGTGACCAGCATTCAATTTTGCCATAAAATCCCTCTCCTAAAAAAAATAAATGGATACCAACCAGGCCATTGTGCAGCTTTATTTTTAAATTTTTCAGAGAAAGATGGTTACTCACAGTACACCTGTAGTCGTTGTTGTAAATGAGAATTCTCAATCGACCTGGATGAATAAAGGCTAAATTTAAAAAAAATTCTAATCCTAATTCAACACCATGTCATGTGCTGAGAGAAGGGGTTCTGTTAAAGACACTGATGGTCATTATCAAAATGGCTCAAGAATTTAGGCAATTTTTTTATGTGATGTTTCTGCACAAGTATTTAATATTGGTAAAATTTAAAAACATTGGCAAAAATAATAATTTAAAAAGTAAACTAATTAATATAATAATCAGAAGTCTGGTATAAATAATTAAAGCTCTAGAACACAAAAACTTACACACATCAATCAGAATTAGCAATATCATTTAATATTTTCTCCCTCAGCTTAAAATCACTGTTGCACATAAGTTACATTTTGTTATTTCAATTTCACAGGTTCATTTTTTTCCTTTCTTCAAACTTCCAGTTTGACCTCCCTCTCTTATCAAACAAAAGAAAAAACAGCAGATTGTATTATACAAAAATGCAGACCAATTTTCACACAGTGAATTCTCTTACAAAGTCATAAAATGGCGTAATAATGGCTACATCCACATTGGAGGAAGATAATTCTAGACATTCCTTAATGGAGTATAATATACATATAAAAACTTTCTTCTTGCTGAAATCAAACTTGTACCTTAATTTAAGAGATATTTTACAAGGGAGCACTCATATAAAAATCCATCTGTGAACATCCCCAGAAAGTCAGGGATTTAAGTGTGAGCTTCAAACAGCAGTAACAGAGTTCAGAGGTCAAATGGGGATAGAGGCCATAGAAACTAGATCTAGGCAGCAATTTCACTGAAAACTGAATGCTATGAATAATGTTTTTATGTTGTTTTGTAAACCACAATTTAATATGCAAGTTTTAAGCTAAACGTTGTTCAGTAAAAGTGCAGGACCTACAATCACCAATGCTTAGAAATAGTCATTCTAGAAATTGGGGACCTGTTCATAGTTTCCTCCACCCACTTCAAAAAGGAAGTAGTTCAAACTAATTTAGGATTACTCTTATTGTCCTGTCAGATTATAGCACAGGCCCGTGAGTCAAAGGCCAGTAAAATCAATCAACTACTGCTGAAAACTACATCCCATCTATGACATCGCCTTATAAAATTTTGATACATTTCTGTAGAACAATATACCAATTATTAAATTATTGTCACTTCATGCTCCTAGAGCATGGAGGGACAAGGTGGGAGAATGTAAGGCCAACCTTTCAAAGGAATCCTGAATGTTTTAGGAGTTGAGTAGGAAAACATTCCCCCAACACCATTCTTAGACCTGAACACTATCAGCCAGTACAGCACACTCTGAGGAAAAACAACTTAAATCCGGTTACATTTTCTACAATACAATCTAACACACAAGAAACTTTCCAAAGGAACAACATTTTGTCTTCTTCGGAAGCATAGTCTATAAAGAACATGTTTGTTTGAACACAAAAGATTAAGTGAACAGACATCAATGCGCACAGAAGTCCTTCGTCTGGGAAAGGATAAAGTCTGTGTTGGCAACAAGTGGACAGAAAACAAAAAAAAACAAACTTTTTGCTGATTCTAAGTAGATCATTTAATATAAATGCTGAGCGAGTAGAATAACAGGTGGCACATTAATAGTGCTTTAGTATATTAATGTATGTATACATACTCATATGTATAAGTGAGCTGTGTACCTAAACAATAAAACATAGTGAGGAGCAGCCAGTGGCTATAACGCAGTTGGAAAAATGAAAAACCCAACATCACTATTGCAGCGCAGAAACATTGTTAAAGATGCACATTGAAACTCAAAAGGAAACAAACGCATTTGCATCTTGATACGACTGGATAAATTACACTCGTCAGTTTGTCAGTACCCCTCATAAAGACAAGTTTACAGTAAACCGGACTAAGTGGGAGCATCTCCTCTATCCTTCAACCGTTTAAGCACAAGGACTCACTCGCTCTCAGCAGAGCTGGAAATAAGCTTGTCATGCTAATTGTTTACAAAAGGCAGCAAACTCTATTGAGCTTTGCAGTAAACAACTGACATGAAGAAAATTAAATTAAAATGGCAATAGTAGTGATGATGATAGGAGGTTTTAAAATTTAAATTCAGTGTAAGTAAACCGTTGTCTTAAAACAGGGAAGGTGTGTATAATCATGCAACCAGGAAACACATAGTTCTCCTGTACAAAATATTTTTTTACATGATTTTAAATATGCTGCTCTCTTTCCTATAATATACTTGAGCTTTTTTCGCGACACGATCTTTTCAAAGACGCACATTTGTCAAGTCATTCTATTTTAAGAGCAAGGTCCGTGCTATGAGAGGTGTGACCCCCAAAATTGTAACAACAAAGCATGAAAATAAAACAAAGCACAATTGAACAAAAAGTCAAAAGGGAAGGCAACTTCATAGAAGTTAGGAGAACAAATGACAAGATAATCCCAATGGGGAGGTTTTTATGAGTGGCCAGATGAGAGGTTCTGAGGAGGGAAACCACTTTGTCCTTTCTTACACCCTGGGCATCACAGCTAAACCACATCCAAGAGAAGCACATAGTAAGATTTCCAAGTATTCCCTTATAGAAAACATGTGAGAAGCTCATTATCAAAAACTTGTTGCAATCTTTAAAACAGAATGCTTTGATCAAATATAATAAACTTGCTTTCAAGTATGAAACAGACATAAAATGTGTTTATAAAATGCATTAATAAAACCATGCTTCTCATGGCAGGTGAAACCATGCATGTGGCAGAAGTTGCAGCCACATTTTTTTAACATCACTTCAATTTAATACTGAAGGCCTCATTTTGAATATTCGCCTTCTCAGACCATCATAATCTGGACAACCACTTTTTTCTTTTTTTTTTTTTTTTTTTACAACTTTGGGGGTAAGCTCCATGCACTCAACCTCACTTTCCATCCTACAATACCATGAAAGAGGTCCTAATTTAACAAGAAGCAAATTGGGCTGAGCATACATTATCTTCTTGTAAACTGAGCTCAAAAAGGCCAACATTAACTATAAATACAAAGGTGAATGTTTGCCCTTTTAAATAAATTGATACAACTACTTTCAGCATCACCACTATTTCTTTTCCTGATATATTTTCCGTGAGCCTTGTTAAAGTATAATCCCAGTAAAAAAACAAAACAAAAACACAGACACGAGAAATGTTATCATATGCTCTGGTTTCCAGGCAAGGAAAATCATTAAAAAGCTCATTCACAGAACAAAAAGAAAGAAAATTTATATCACGGCAGATACTGCTCATCTTCTAAATAGAATGGTTTGTGTGCCTGTGCATGCTTTTCAACTGAGCATCTCTTCTGTAGGTGTGTGCAGTGTCAGTGTGTATCTCATGACTAAGAGCATGAATGGACCACACCATTTTTCTGAATCTCTGAACCAGCAGCACCTGGATCTGAGCACAGGCTCAATGCAGACGTCTTATTGGTCAGTGACAGCATGGACCCGCCCACTGCACTTTCTTGCAGACTGCTGGAGCCGTTAGACACCTCACTATTCAAAAAGAAAGGCAATGTGTCACTGAAAAAGCCTAACTCACAATATAGTAATATAAATAGTGTTCTCCCTCATCATTACTATACCTTAAGGCCAGTGACATTTCCTCTAACTGAGCCTTTGGCTCTGGTTGTCCATTCTCTGTAGGCTTCATTTTAAACTGCTCATGGGCTACTTGGTTTTCCTAGTTAAAACATACATGTTGCAAATAATCCAAAACCAAAGCAATGAATAAAATACTACTTGTTGAGCAAACCTTCATTAGGAAAACAGATATCACTGTTTTACCCAGAATGCCTTACCATGGCCATCTCTCTTGTTCTCTTGCCAATCTCTCGTTCCACCTGATGGAGCTCCAGGCTGAGCTGTTCGCTGGAAACTGTTGTGGCATTTGTGCCCCCTGGAGGCCACTTTGGCTGTTGCTGCACTGTTTGGCTCTGGCTGGCCTGGCCTGCAAGGGCACTGGCTTCCCTTTGCAGCATTAAGGAGTTACTCGCAGCCTGTAGTGGAAACAGAAGCAACAATAAATTTTAGTAATAATATTTATAAAAGACAACAGATAATCTGAAATCAAAATTAAAATATACATACTTCGATGTTGTGCATCTGTGTCTGCTGGGTAATCTGTTGGTTGACCTGCTGCAGTTCAAACTTTAACTGTTCTCTACAGAAAGGAAACATTGATAAAGTTGGTTTATTGTACAGTCACAGCTGTTATTTAGTATGCGGTTTGAAAGTTCAGAAGTTAAGGAGTAAATGAGCATCAGCCCTCACCGCTCAAAGTGTCCCTGAGAGGAAGAAGATGGCTGATGGGGGGGGTATGATGCTCCACTCCATCCATGGCTTCCATATGATGAATACTCTACAAAAAGAAACAATTGTGTTTCACAATTATGATAACTTGGATCACATCCAGACTGAAGTTGTAGGTGAATTGAAATAGGAGCACATGACTTTCACATACAGTCCCTGCAGCACTGCCACATTATTGCAGGGTAGAACTGGAGAATTAATGGAACTTGTATTGATTCTTGGTGCAATTCATATTTTGGATGTTTTACGTTTTAACTAGAAATTGTGGAGTTGATGGACAAAAGAATGTAGTTGAAAAAGGCGTTTTCTACCTGACTTCTGAGAGCTAGCGGCAATAGCCTGTATAGGGCCAGCAGTTTGGTAGCCAGTCTTTGAGGTGCGGGAAATGGCACCAAATCGGGACACAGTGGGCTGAGGACCAAAAGGGATAATGGGATCATCATCTTTGACTTCTGTTCCCCGTCGAGGAGTCTCCAGTGATGGCTCTCTCAGACTTTTTGCTTCTACATTCTAAAAAAAGAAAAAAACAAAAAAAAAAAAAACAGCACAAGTAGCCATTACATTAAAATATACATGTTAAATCATTCAAAAATTCAAA